GGGTATTGGGATCGCAGGTAACTCGACTTTTGCGCATCTCATCCCTGTAGATGACTCACCTTGCGCTGTCGGGGACTGCTCTAATCCCGCCAGTTTTGCCTGCAATTTCATGCTGAGGACATGGGCTTCCTCAAGAAGTGCATGAGTTTTCTCTACATATTCTTCGACCTGAGCTTCTTGCTCATCTGATAGGGGCTCTGTCATTTGATCAGCAGTCGTTGTTAACTTGTCAAGCGCTTCATTTACGAGCTTCAAGCTAGCATTCACTTCGAAGGACATTTCCGTTAGAGATCTTGGAGAATGCTCACTATTGATTTTTTCTGAGTATTTCGTAACAGTTTGACTTAACATATTAGAGTACCTAGTAAGAAGTCCCTTATGTGACTTAAGTTGGGTTGACCCAGACATTTTATTTCGCTAATTCGCAAAAATTGTATTCGGAAAGAAAATACACTTGCAGCTTCGCATAGACTGTATTCGAAGAGAAAATACGACTGCACTTTTGCAAAGACTGTGTTCGGAAATAGCGAAATTCGATTGATCGCAAACGGCAAATCAACTTTCAAAGTCGAAATTCACCGAAAAAAATTTGAAGTGAAGAAACACTTACCTTCTCCTCTGGGTTCCTTATGGTTGGTCCGTATGCACCATGAAAAGGAATCTGTGGTTCAGTGGGCAGAATACAGTAGTACCGATACTTACGAGAACTCCTCAAACTTGGGTAATTAAACATTTATAACTTTAACGGCAAACGACAAAATTAACGTAACGGTGTGTGATCAACGTAACAAAGCTTCAACGAGACCTGGATATGGAAACTGAGTGTAAAGCTTCAATACCGGACAGTATATGAGAAAATATGAATAGAATATGAATGATAATATGATATGAATAGAAAACAACAGTACAACTCGTATCTTTAGAACACTTCTCATCGTATCGCATACTCGCAAGAGAATTCTGAAGGGATCGCAAATTGCAAAGAACAAGCAAGAGAAAGTGATCAATAGGGAATAGACTTGGCTCTCTGAGCCTTACTTGCCCTTTTTATAGCGTGTTTTGGCGCGCGATCGTTCAAACGATCTGCCGAGGGCGGTCAAAGCAATCGCGGATTCGCGATACTCCACGCCCGTCAAAAGGTGCTTCACATAATATCGCAATTTCGCACAGATACTTGCGTGGCTTCTGCTTCTACGCATTACGTAGCTCCTGTAGTCGGCGATGGAGATCGTCCAGGGTAAGCTCACAGTGTGCCTTTCAGCTTCTATTTGTAGGGAGACCTCCGGGAGCACACAAACGGCGGAGTGGTGTCCCCGCTCCTTACAGTGGAAGCAAGGTATTCTGAATTTTGGACATGACTGGCCTTTTTCGCACTCTAGCTCTAAGCAGTTGAGGCATCGACGTCTTCCTCATGAGGTATTCCTGTCGCATTTCTCCTGTACGGAGCTGGTCGCAGGAGTCCGAGTAGTGCCTGCCCTGTGCTTGGCAGAATACACAGCGCATGGTGCTCTCCTCTAGGCGATAAATGCCAGCTTCGTATGCCCTGGGTGGACACGTCTTCTTTCTTGACAGCTCCCTCAAGCGTCGAGCAACATTGTTCAGTTCAGTCGTCAGCGCTTCTATTTCTCTGTCGACTTCTTCATTCTGTTGGCCTGCCTCTTCCTGCTCCAGTACGCCTTCCATGTATTCAGCGTTTGCGGCGATTCTTTCGGATTCCTCTCCTCGCTCGTCGAGGTTCTCCTCCGCGGCAGGCGGTATCGTAATAGGTGACTGTGGCCTTCGCGTTGTCGCAAGTTGCTCGAGCGTATCTTGCCATCGAGTCATCGATCCATCAACTGATTGTAGGAGTTCCAGTATCTTCTGGTGGAGGCTTCTTTGCTGGTTTCTCTCCTCAGTAAGGCACTCGGATCGCAACTGACGAAGAGTGGTGAAGAATTCCTCGATTCCCTGGAGTTGATCCTTGAGGATTCGTTCTATGTCGGACTGATCGGTTCGGAGAGCTTTTCTCTTGCCCTTTTGAGTGACATATTCTTGAGGTGTTTCCATTCTCGATTGCCATGCTCTCGACGATGTCTTCTTTGTCGCAATCATTAGGGGTACCGTAGAGTATAACAATCGCAAATGTTTGAGTAAGAATTGAAAACGAGTTTTGACATTCTCAGCTTTCAGTTCTAGAATAGTAACATCACGTTCTAAATCATGAAATGATGAAAGAGGATCATGGAAAACACTGAGATCTCTTCGGAGCTTATCAAAAACTTCGGCATTCTGCATGACGTTTTTGCAGCTGCTCACGATGTCATCGTAAAGTTCGTCTGGAGACGGCAGTGGAGGGAGTGCAGATTTAAGGCACTTCAGTTCTCGCTTCAAACTTTCGTATCGTTTGTCCATACCTGAAAAGGGTGGAGAACCCCTTTTAGGGTATTATGGGATTTTCTTAAGACAGAAAATTGCATGGCATTTTTGCATTATTTTCGGATTTTCTTGAGAAAGAATATTGCAAGGCGTTTTCGCATCTGCATCGCTTTTGCATAAGGCGTTGCATAGTAACTAGGAGAGGAAAGTTATAATGTACCTTCACTTACAGAAGCATTTCGGAGTCCTTGTGAACCGCTGCTACCGTACGCCGCGGTTCAGTTTCCCAAGTTTGGGGTGCGATTAATCCCCGTGTTGTACCGCCTCGGCACTGCCAGCGCGATGTACGTCGCACCGCCCTGGGGACTGGCTTCGCCACATGCCGGATTACGAAATGCTTCCATATAAGCATTAATCGCAAAATTTTGATAACGTGTTCATTTTGGGACATGAATCGAAGCAGGTAGTGAAGTAGATAGTATATTCTCGC